CCTCATATGCGAGGGACTGTGGTGGCGAGTCCACAGTCTCCTCTGTCTCGACACTCATCACATCCACCTCCTCGGAGGAAGATAGATGAAGTGTCTGGCTCTCTCTCCGGGGGGAAAAAACCGCAGCGCGGGCTTCCAATCCCTGAGAGTGAGCCGTGGATCTAGCGGGTGAGGACAGAGAAAAGATCGAGCCCGTCTCGGATCCCTCTGCGATCCCCACGACAACAGTCTATGCTGTGCCTTGGCAACAGTGGGACCGCTGCCAGCGGGATCGCGAGCCTGGCCGCTCTCATCAAACACGGCCAGGTGAGAGCGGAGCACACGCAGCGAGGGCAACTCGCAGTCATGACAATCAGCCCCCTCGAGAGCTGACCGTGCATGCTCCGCTCCTAAACAAACAACACACAGATCGTGTGTATCCCCCGCTGCCAGATATCGAGGGCAGGGAGGAACACAACGTCTGTAATGTCGTTCGCTCGCCATAGGCTTAGACTTTGACTTTGACATTTTTGAATGCTTGTGAACTGACAGACAACAGTAAATAAGACTGACACATATACAGAGCGCTACTGAAGAGCAGAAATTAACTTGCGCTCTGCCGAATGCGCTTTTATACTTCCTGGTTGCTCACGTCACCCCGCTCATGACGTCTTGCTGCTCCATTGGACTGATTTTACACGTGCTTCAGAACGCGGTCACGCAGGGGCGTTCCCAAAGCGTTTCTCGACGCAGATCGAGTTCCTGAAGGGGAACATTCTTCTAACAACATTCTTCAAATTCCATTTCTGGCTTAAAAATTGATTTTCTTTAGTGATTCTGCTTGTTAACATCAGGTGTCTTCCCTAATGGTCAATCATCATTCAATCAATCACTTAATTATCTCATTAACGTTAACACTGCTTCAGTGTTCATTTTAACACTCTTGAGTTTGGACTCAAATAAACTCTGAGGAGAATTAATTTAGCACTGGCAATTTTGTGTATAGTGTTGTAACGTGGGGTTTGGGTTTTGTTTGTGTTTCTTGTTCATTGCTCTCATGAATTTTATTTTGGAGTTTAGTCATGGTTCCTGTCTAGTCATGTGGTTCCTATGCCTTCTTGTATTCCTGCTATTGGTTCCTTTGTTCATTGTGTCATGTTCTGATTGGTTGGTTAAGTCATGTGTCTTGTTCCTCATTGGTTGGATTGTGTCATGTAACCCTGATTGTTTGGTATGCATAAGCTGCGTCCCAATTAATAGGCTATGTCCTTCGAAGTGCGCATTTGAAGGCCAATTTGGTCATGGCGGCGTGACGAAAGCTGTCCCAATTCAAAGACCCCGTCCTACGAAGGCTGCATTTGAAGGCCGATTGCGGCGCGGCGAAGACCGTACCAATTCACGATGCATCCTCCCAAGGCTGCATTTGAAGGCCGATTACGTCACCGCGGCGCAACAAAGGCTGCTGCAATTCGAACGCGACTTCAAATGCGCCCTCCGTTTCCCAGGAAAATTAAGGATACAACAGATGGATATTCATAGTGCGCCGGTGACGATGGGACTTTTATTCAAACAAAATAGCGAATGACAGTTCTGTGGCGGCCGACGAATACACTTATAAATGTAAGTATTGTGTTTCAATTTACTCAGATAGCTAGTGAAACAAATTTTAAAAGTCAGGTGTCTTAAAAAATGCAAACTTAAACTAAAAATACCACTGCACAGATTAATTTGTTAGGTGGTCTGAGGCAAAAGTTCTTGCATTTATTAAATTGAGGGCTGAATTTGATCATTCATTTTGTAAATTTTTGCAAAGCAAGTTATAATTTGTAAATGACAGATTTTGCCTCTGAATAACATTTGCAAATGAAAACAAATTGTTCTATACTAAAAGTGCTTTTTACAACTAATAACAAAATAACTTCAATTCAACATCAGAAAAACCACATCAAAATTTAATTAGCAATACATAAAAACAGATTTTTATGTATGCTTTCATTCAGCTGAACAGTGAGATCCTGGTGGAGACGCTGGACCTGGATGGGCTGCCATAGAGAGCCTGGTACGGCCTCTGCCAGTGGAACATAATCTGGGATAGTCTCCAGAGTGTTTGAGTTTTAGTAAAGTACATTCAGTAACTACTATTAGCGCATTGAGGAAAAAATGCATGCATTTAAAACCTTAAGTAAAAGTTTTATCCTTAATACTGTAATGTACTTAAGGTATGAAGAGTAAAAGTAAAAATAGCCTATGTATTCTGCAGAAAAAAAAACTTTATAAATGATGGTCTTGCATTAATATTACTGTTGCACTACAGTGTACTGTATGTTGCATTTTACTTCTGAATATGTTCAAGGGTGTTACATTTAAAATACGTTATATAGGCCTACTATTGGGCAGTTTAATGTACAACAGTGCATGATATTGTAAAGGACCATGTTTTTGTATTGTAGCTGTCCTGTGAGAAATAAAAATCAGTACTTCTCATTTGTATGTGAATACTTAAGGAATGTATTTCGTTACACTCCACCACTTTGTTATTTTGCAGATGAAACGAACAAAGTTTATTGCTAGAATATTAACAAACAGTTGCTACAACTGCGAACCATATCAAGGCTGCTTCCGAAGCACTAGGACCGGTCTAGCCTATGGAGGACTCTTCTTGTTGCCTAGCAACTTTGTCAGCTGCCATAGATGAGTGGCAGTAACGTGTGTAAGTGAACTTTTTATATTCAGCTGCATAAAACTAAACAAGGTTGAAAACCTGTTTAAATATGTTCACCATGGTCCATTTATGTACATAATAATCAATAATAGAATAAACAACATAAAATCACAATTTGGTAAGATATAAGTCGACATTTAATCGCTTTATATTTTGTATTTTTTCATGTCATTACA